TTCAAAGCCTGTTCTTTCTCCAGAGCTTTCAAATTTCTCTTTCTGTTTTCACCTGCACTTGGTGGTACTCACTATTTCTTAGTACCTCCACTTAAATCTACAAGAGAAAGAAGCAGATCAGAAATAAAAGTGAGACCTGGGGCACCTGCATGGCTCAGTCGTTAAGCATCTGCCGTTGGCTCAGGTCATGATCCCAGGGTCCTGGGATTGAGCCCTACATCAGGTTCCCTGCTCATCAGGAAGCCTGCTTCTCCCTCTCCCACTCCCCCTGCTTATGTTGCCTCTCGTGCTGTGTCTCCCTGTCAAATGAATAAATAAAATCTTTAAAAACGAAAAAAAATAAATAAATAAAAGAGACCTATTGATTTGTTACTTGCCTATATCATATGACAATTATTTATGGTTTTGTAAGAATGGGCATTTTAACTATGTGAGTTACTGAGTTATGGGGGAGTATCCTTCATTCCTACTCTATTTATCCCAAACAGCCACCAGTACCAGTAATGTTGCTGTCCAGAGAACAAGATAAAATATGTGATGATTCCTTTTTCCAAATGAGGACACATGTTCCTTCAATCTGCTTTGTGACTTAATCAATGTGGCATTATTAACAAAGCAGCGGATATCATGAATCACTCAGAAAGAAGAGCCTTGTAATTTGCATCTCATTTCCCAATTGAGCAATCAGCTGTAGATAACACTCCCACCAGAGCACTTCAGTGTCTTAGGAGATTCCTGAGTTGAGAGGACATTTGCAGGCTCACACAGGGGCTTGTAATTCCGACCTGCAAACCAAGAAAAAAACCATGAGAATACCTTCCTTGGGCCACTAGTCCACTGGGTCACAGCTGAGGATTCCCAAGCCTCTGTGGGGGTTCCGTTCCCATTTGCTTCCTTCCTACCTCCTAGTAGTCAACTTCTTGAAGGTTCAGCCTCTTGAAAAGATCTTGAGAGTAAGGAAAGCTTATTGGCAATGCCTCACTATTACTGAAAAATCAGTTGGCTTCTAAGGGTGAGACATTAGCATCCCATGAAAGGCTGGGCCCCAAACTTTATTGTCATAGTACCATGTGTCAGAATTCAGAAACACTTTAATCTGTGGGCAGAAATAGATGAAACAAATCAAAGAGCTTGCAGCCCACCTCAAAGAAAATCCCCAAAGCAGGAAAATTTACTACTGGGGAGTTTAGGAACTTAAGAAAAAAATAAGTTGGAGGGCCAAGGTCAGTTATGAGCCTTTGAAAGCTCTTCTAGAATGTCTTCATTCGGTAAAATAGACAACATAAAAGAATACAATGACATTTTTTACATCTATAATCACCAGTAATTTTAGTACATTTGATTTCTGTTTGCAGTTCAAGCTCAATAGTAAAATTTTGAGGACTTTATTACACATTTTTCTTTTTTAAAAAAAAAGATTGTGAATTTGTTTTGCTGTTTTATAGCAGATTGAGTAATAAGAGACCATTTTCCTTCTTCTGGTTCTCCATTCCAGTGAGCAGTGTTTTTTTGAAGTAAGGGTCCTCTCTCGTAGTTCCCACAGAACTTACAGAGTGATAGAGTAAGTTAAATGCTTAGGACTGGGAAATAAAATAGAAAGAATTTATGCAGAAACTTTTTAAAGATTTTATTTATTTATTTGACAGACAGAGATCACAAGTAGGCAGAGAGGCAGGCAGAGAGAGAGAGAGGGAGAAGCAGGCCTCCCGCTGAGCAGAGAGCCCTACGTGGGGCTCCATCCCAGGACCCTGAGATCACAACCTGAGCTGAAGACATAGGCCCAACCCACTGAGCCACCCAGGCACCCCTATGCAGAAACTTTTGAAACCAACTCCACATAGCTGAGAATATGTTTCTTTCCTAGTCCACAAGGTTATAAAGCCTTACTTTGTTTGTGATAACCTTCTGCCAAGGCATACCCTCTCTCTTTCTTGCCCACACTTGGCTTTTTCTAACCTGGCAAACTGAAGGTATGATTCTAAGATCTGAATGGACTGTCCCTCAGCCTTTATTTCTCTCACGACTTCATTGCAATGACCTTCATTTCTTGTTTTATATCTGATTGAGAACATTTTTATCAACCCAAACTGTACTACTTCAGTCTTTTTAAAAAATCATCCCCATTAGAGATTACCAGCAGTTCTGTGTCTAAAAGGTTTAAAAATTTCATGTGGGAGGGACTCAAATTGGATAAGACTGTCTTTCTCAAAACGTTCAAAACCTTTGAGTCTTCTAGGTACTGGAACAAGAAATGATATCTATAAACATTAACCATTCAAGGGTTGTATAGTGTATTTTCCCCCATAGGGCTAGAATGTCTAGAATGCATCATATTTCTGGAGAGATTTGTAACTCAGAGAAGGCTAATAAGGTGCTTGGGTAACTCAGTATCACACGATTTGGGGATCTGGTTTGTGGCAGTCGTCAAACCTTATGCTAGATTCAATTCCCTATTACGTCAGGCATTTAGTCTCTCAGCTCGGGTAATAGCATTAACTGCTGGAGGAGGCACCTGAGACAACTTCTGATTCTGTGCAATGTACACAGAGAGTCAGGGCACCTGCTAGAATTCTAACCTGATGAGTGGATTGGGTGAGTCACCTCATCTCCCTGGATGGCAATTTCCACATGTCTAGGTAGGGAGTTGGACTAACTCAGTGGTTTCAACCCTGACCTGGAGACCTAGCCCTACCCACCCCACCAACTGGAAGAGGCCTTCTGGAGTTGGTGCTCTGGAGGCTGATTTACTTAGGAATGCTTCTCAAACATTCTCTTGTCTGCCAGGTTACAAACCATTGCAGCAGACACTTTTTAGGGTGACTTCTACCTTTAGAATACGGGGTTTCCATTAAACCAATATTCTCTGCTGTTGGCAGAATCTGGATCAGCACGAAGTGTTAGTCAACAGAATGACTGTATCATAGTGGTCTTTTTAAACACATGTGATTAATGCCATATGCAAATGAAATGACTTATTCAGAGAGCCTATCACAGTAGCACTGGTTCTATGATGGATACTTCTTACCTCATAGGATTACAGTGAAAATTAATGGACAGAATGTCTGGGAGCATTTTTTCAGGGTGTCTGTGACTTTGTGAACACTTAATGAATTAACAGGTGATAGGACAATAATAGCAGTGATGTTGGTTATGAGATCAAAGTATTCCTCACGGGCCAGCAGCATCAGTATTCCCCGGGAGCTCATTAGAAATACGGAGTCCCAGGCTCTACCCCAGACCTCCTGAACCAGAACCTGCATTTTATAATGAAATCCCCAGGGCATATGTGCGCACATAAAAGTTTGAGAAGCACTAATGCAACTTGACAGCAACTTGACAGAAGTCACGCTACCAGTAAGTAAAGCAGGGAGCTAGAAGTTACAACCAAATCAAAAGACACTGAGGCCTGTTTCTCAGCGCATCTCTGACCCGGAGCTGTTCAGGCTTCCTGAATCCTACTGGGCTACTTGTTCTTTCCTCCAGGCTGTAACTGAAAGGCTCTTTAAAGCACATTTTTGCATCTACCACAGAGACAACAGCACTGTAATTTTGGTTTTCACATTTTTAATTATTCAGCTGTTTTATTTGTCACCATCTAGGGAATTATTACAAAACTTATGTCTACAATGCTTCTGATTAATGCATATTTAGGCAACTAAGCAGATGTAGAATGGGTTGACTTCTTTGATAAAATTAAACATTGATGAAACATGTATTTGCACAGCAATAATGATGCCAGCGTTTGTATAAATAATAACACATCTATTTCCCTAATCATCTAGGAAAAAAAAAAAACCCACAACAACAACAGTGAGAGTTGACAGAATTACCAAATATGTCTCACTTCCTAGGCAGATCATTTTTGAGTGTAAAAGGTTTTTTTTCCAATGTGAATAAAGTTATGCTAATTTATAGCATCTATTACCACTTTAAAATGAAAGGACTGTCTTTGAGCAAAAAACAATGTGGATGAGACCTGGAGCATGTTTCCAGGATATATCATGAGTTCCAGAGCTTCTTTGTCCAGCATGGAAAGCTGCATGTTATAACAGACTCCTCCACAGTACTGTAGTTTGATTTTATGTAAGATGTATTCTGAAGCCCAGCTGATCTGATTCTACAGCACACATGTGTTTTTCACCTCTTACCAATCTCTTTTTTTTAAGATTTTATTTATTTATGACAGAGAGAGGGAACACAAGCACAGGGGAGCTGAAGAGGGAGAAGCAGACTCCCTACTGAGCAGGGAGCCCAATATGGGACTCGATCCCAGGATGCTGGGATCATGACCTGAGCCCAAGGTAGACACTTAATGAGTGAGCCACCCAGGCGTCCCTCACCTCTTAGCATCTCTGATATTAGTGTTTCTCTTACAACTGATGACTCATTCCAATTTGATTCACAGCATTTTTTTCTTTTTATAATCAATGGAATCTTAAATTCAATCAGATAGATCAGGATCCCCAGTGAACTTAATCATACATAGTTCACAAGAAACATCATGTTGAGGAAAACAAATGGGACAGAAAGGAGATATCACCCCCACCCGTATTCAAATAAGAAGGGGAGGTAGACAAATGGACCAAAATTAAATAAGAAAAGATTCCATGGGTTTCTGTTTTCACAGAGCCAGAGAGAAAAATCATAGATGTGAGCATTCAGCCGAAGGTCAGGAAAGAGGAAAAGGGGAGTGAATACGGCATCAGGATGGAAAATACAGTGAATAGGTCCACTATTTCGATCATTATTTCCTAGGTGTGACATTCAATTTGCTGCTCCCTTTTCTTAGTCCTCGCATTGGTCAACAGAGCTCCCAGAGGCTAGGGTGAGGGGGGCCTTTTCTGTATCTGTTAGGAAGCATTGTTTCTTCTTGCCTACCCAGGGGGATCAGTCATCCCCCACACTCTCTCTCCCCTGCTTCCTACATTTTACCCAGTCCCAAACCACCTGGGAAGGCTTAAATGATTCTTATGACTTCTGTTGTTTGTTTGCTCTTTCAGGTGATATCAAGATTATCGAACAAATCTACGGTGTCACAGGTATGGCTTTTTCCAAAGAGCAGAACATTTATCTAAAATCTGTAGGATTTCCAATAAATCTGCCTCCCACTTGTGGGTTTTATGCATTTATTTTCAACCTTCCCTGATACACTTCCCAATGAAATGTATTGACTTTCTGGAGTTTGGAACAGAGAAGTATTGAAACTGACCTCTCTATTTAAGGGTTTTATCATTGTTGAAAGGTGGCTGCCACCAGAACCTGCCAAAAGTAATAACATCCTGAGATTGATCTTGGAAGTACATTTATTACGTTTAAAATTAGTAGCCAAATGTTTTCCTGTAGGCTTCCAATTGATGGTACAACATGATTTTCCATGATATAAACAACAACAGCAACAAAAGTAGTTCAGGGATACTCTGGAAGTGGTTTCTCTTAAAAGCAGTCCCAACTTTTAAGAATCCTCCAATTTCACAGAAAATTTTCCAAGAAACAGTGACTTAGCAGATTTAGTACCTGGACTTTTATTACCAATAATCCTGTGACAGAAATCCTATAAAAAATCTCCTTGCCTTGCTCAGCACTCTTCTTGAAACAGAAACCCAACACCCTTCTCACACAGACACACATACATACAGATAAACACATATCCAGTTACATAACATATGTCAAAGACATTGATAATTTACTGAACATAGATGGGGCTGTGGGAGCACAAACAGAGTTTACTTTTAATACTACTGAGAAAATTCTTAAAAGCCCTTAAAACATCTCAGTGCATTCAACTGAGTTTCTGGCAGGAGTTGTCTTTCTCATCTCTGCAAAATCCCTCCTCAGGAGCTGGCAAAATGGTTATGTTTCAACTCTTCTCAACAGGCCATCTTTCCTCACAACTATACCCCTTTACCCCAGGCCATTCCTATCTTCCTCTTTCTCATGAAGAAAAATTTAGCTTTCTTTTGGACTTTCCAATTTGAATTCCTCACCCCTTCATAGCACTCTGAAAATGAACATCCCTTCCAGGAAGGGATGGATATCTTTAACTTTCAAAAAATTATTGTGTGTAATTAAGGCTTAGGTTCATTTACAATATCAAAACCACCAGAATAATAGGAGCTTCAAGGCAAATAGATATTTATTTCTCTCTCGTGGACGAAGCCCGAGGTGGGTGATACAACTGTGTCAGTAGGGTCCTGAGCTTTCTTCTTTGGGATTCATTAACCTCGATGCAAGGCTTCCCTTTTTAAGAACTTCTCATTGTCTAAGATGGCTGCAGGAGATCTCTCCACTTTATGAATGGTCCAGACTAGAAACCAAATATATACATACACACACACACACACACACACACACACACAGGATAGAGGCTTGCCTCTTTCCAGACGTCCTCCTAAAAGTTCCTTTTAACCTGTCCACTTGCTAGTATCACCCCAGAGCTCAGCCTCATGGCCGAATCCACTGGCAAAGGAAGCTGAGAAAGGAGATCTTTGGGCCAGGTGCATTGCTGAAAGTTCTGTTAACTAGCAAAGAAGGAGAGATCATGTTAAAAAGAGGTAACCAACAGTCTCTGTAGCACCCACCTGAGGCATATGTTTCCATTTTCTTCATGATCATCATCATCCCCACAAGAACATCTATTAAGTATTTCCAATGCACATTGCTAAGTGTTTCAACCTCCATTATCTAATATCTATTTCCTCACACCGTTCCCAATTAACAGGTGAAAAAAACAAGGATTTGCCTACCCAGGGGAGTCAATAGATAATAAGTAATACGTAGTAAGTCTCAAGTAATAGGTAGTAATAGGTAGTAAATAAGAGGTAGTAATAGGTAGTAAGTCTCAGGACTTCTAGGACCGTGTGACCAAAAGCCCGTGCATTCAGCTGCTAGACTTTATTCTGCTTCCCCTGTAGTCATCACAGGTCTGGCTGAATCTAGGCACTTGTGAGTTCAAAATGGATATTTCAGTAGAATGTCATAAGCTAAATGAGAGATTCTTTTGACTATGGGGATTAAAACCTCCTTGTCCTCGTGGAAGCATCTGTCAGGGGGAAATGAAGGAGTGGGTCAGAAGAGAAGGAAGAAATCTGTAGCCGAACTTTATGGTAGTGTATACAGGGGTGAATCCAGCTACCCAAGAGAAGCAAGCATTTCTGTGCACGTGGCCTGAAGAAAATAACCGGTACTCCTGCAGAGAGGCTATGTGTGGGGCTGGGTATTTACTGATCTAATAAATTCGGCTCCTCTCTTCAGTGTTAGGGGAAATAACTGATTCTTCGTAGAAGTACTGTTGGCTGCCTTGATCACAAGAGTCACTGTCTAAGCAACTTGCCCAAGGTGCCAAGTCTCCATGATAAAATGGAAGTATGACATTTAAACAAACTTGTAGAAGTACAAACCCTACAGATTATTAGTCAGAGAATTCTTTTAGGGCCAGTGGAGCCTCCTTGAACCAAAGGAATGATTAAATTGCCAATGCAAATGTAAATAGAAGTCCAATTAAAAGAATTTACTCATTGTTTTTCATTTCTTGGATAAGTTTGCCCTGTTGTTTCTTTAATGGGGCGAGCTAATTTTTCTGTTCTACAGTGCTACCAAGCAATTGTTCCTCCACAGTTCCATGTGGGATTAACTTTGTTATAAACACAGAACTTTAAAATGCTGTGAATGGCAAAAACAAATAAGAGCCAAACCATGGCTATCCCAATAAAAAGCTAAGGACTTCATTACATGATTAATTACAATAATCATATCTAGTTGGAAAGATGAGTCTCATGCCATTTCTTCAAGAAATTTTGAACCATTAAGATTAGAATATAAGAAAGCTTCATGAGTAAACTAACTATTTTGTTTCATTTGGCCTAAACTGAATGGGCTATTGCCTGTAAAGTCACCACAGGTTCAAGTTCATTTTTTTGTTATTGTATCTATCATTATAGCTATTACAGGAAAATCAATATATACCAAAAAAACCAACTCTTTATATTAAGATGAAGGAAAACCATGACAGCTCATGAGATTTAAATAGTACTCTTAGATCTTTTCATTTTGTTGTCTTATTTCTCTTAGAAATTATTGATGAGCAGGTAGAAGCAATTGTATCCTCAAAAGAGAATGAGACCCACACACAAAAAAATGAATGACCTTTTGGAGCAGGGAAACCATGTCTGGGGCAGAACAAGAAACACCCATTGTTGTAATGACTTTATTGAGGGCCACTCATTTAGCCTTTACTGTCCTTTCTGCCCTGCCTCCCATCATTACCTCCATTGCCCTTACCCATCCTCTCCCTTGCTTAGTCTTCTTAGTCTAAAAGGTTGAATTACTCCAGCCAGGAGTCTAAGATGGGTTTATGCAAGACTTCTTCTTGGTTCATTATGCAAGACTTCTCCCAAGGTTCTTAAGAGGAGCAGACCAAATGGTTTGCTCTATTTCCTGCCAACTGATGTCTGAGAATAAAAATAACAGGAAGCAGAGTAGGTGTGGATGCTGCTGATCTTGCTCCATCTATGTAATCCAGAATAGGAAAGATTTTTATTCTCAAAGATAATATGTTTTTCTGGTTGACCTGCACATAAAGTTCCACTAAAGACCTTATGACTTAAAAAAAAAAAAGAAAAAAGAAAGAAGACCTTATGACTTTAGAATAACAAGGCCCAAGACCTTCCTGTAAAATGGAAAATGTCCTAAGAGCATGTCAGCATATACTATTATAGATGATAGTCTGAGTATAATCTGGAAGCAAACCAGGTAAAACGCAGGTTTCACACAGCTCCCCATGAAGACAGTTTAAAAAGACCAAGAGAGGCGTTGACAGAAGGACACCAGGATGGCAAAGAGGGTAAACCTGGGGAATATCAGAAATGCAAGACATGGAACCCCTGAATAAATAATAGCAAAATCTGCAAAGTCTTAAGTTTTACTGAGAAGCAAGTTTGTAAAGGATTTGACTTTGCTTAGGTGGGCCCACCAGCATGAATGGTCTACCTCTCAAGCGGTCTTTGTGGTCTATACTAATCTGTGTTATCCACTGATTTAGTCAGAGCCCAAGGGAAATGGCAGCATCAACAAAAGACTCCCATCCATTGTGGAAGATGAAGAGGAGGAGGAGGAGATGGAGGACGAGGAGACATCCTCCCTCTCTCCCATCTACACCAGGGGAACCTTGTCTGCGCGCAGCAAGAAGGCTGGAAGCAATAAAAGCTATCTAGGCCTAAGCTTGAAGCAGCTGGCCTCGGGCACTGTACCATTTCACTCACCTAGCCGAGTCTCCAGTTCACATTCCCCCCAAAACAAACAGGAAACTGATCCCCCCAACCATGCTAAAAGGAAAGAGAGAAACTTGAAATTGCAACTGTCAGCTTTGAATAGCGCCGGACCCCCAGACCTCAGTCCAAGGTAAGAATCACATCATGCAATTCTTTCCTAGGTGAAAAGGGCTGCCTTTTGTCCAGACTATTACCTTGCTGGTAAATTATTCAGATTTCTGGGCCTCTCAGCCACATAGGTTTCTAGCCTGGGTTCTTCAACTCTGCTGAATTATGTGTGCAATTTTTGCCTCTACATGGTGGTGTGTGCAATATGAGAATGCTAGTTGTATTCTCAAAAGGGTCCATTAAATATTCGGAAGTTCTTCTCTATTTCTTTCATCCGTTTAGCACTACCTATTATTTTGTGTGTATTTCTACAATGTAATTTTGTAATTTATAAGTTTAAATGAAAATAAAAGAACAAGGCCCATCGATGTGATTCCCTCAATGCCTGATCTTACCAAACATTTTATGGAACAATAAGTTGAAATCATAAAGGCAACGAAATGTTGATGTTCATTTTCAATCCTATTTTTCTTTATCATTGTGGACAACTGAAGCTTTGTTATATTTCTGGCCTCCTCTGTAGGTAACATGAAATGGCTCTACTTTTAATTTTAAAAATTCACTTTAGGATTAGCTAAAGAGGATTGAAAGGGTGAAAAATCCTGATGCAGATAATGTGAAAGGAGTAGTCTATGGTGAGTACAAGCAATAGTAAAAAATCACAGCATAGCTGAATAATAAGTAGAAGCAAGGGAAAAAAAAATGGAATGCTTCCTATGTACCACGTCCTCTGCTAGGTTTCTCTACATTCACTATTGCATTTAGTCTCCTCAGGAGTTCAGGAGTCCTGTAGAGTAGTTCATATTATCTGTACTATGAAGATATAAGAAGTGAATTCTTTTGTCCAAAATCTCATAGATTACGGTTGGAAGTCTGGATACAAATTCTGTTTTTCTACCTGTAAAGCCAGTGATATTTTTTAGTATATTTAACTAGTCATCTGAAGGACACAATTTATCCATTTAGAGAGAAATTTTTAAAAAATAAGCAAAACAGACTTAGTGAAAAGTAGGTGAACATTAAAGTTTCTGGAATTCAGTTAAGGATGGTAATTTGAAAATATTGCCTTATTCTTCTCCTCCTTCCTAAATTTTTAATAAGAAGTAATACAATAAATTTTAAATAGGGGAAAATATATCAGAGCTGGAAAAGAAAGGTTTATGTACAATTGATCCTACACTTACAAAAAGATTTTGAGAACATGTACCAAAATGCTAACAGTAGTGGTAGATTACAGGTGACTTTTATTTTCTAAGTTTTGTTACCTTTATGTTTAAATTTTCTACAATAGACATATTTTTTAAAGATTTTTAAAAAGATTTTATTTATTTATTTGACACAGAGAGAGAGAGATCACAAGTAGGCAGAGAGGCAGGCAGAGAGAGAGGGGGAAGCAGGCTCCCTGCTGAGCAGAGAGCCCGATGAGGGACTGGATCCCAGGACCCTGAGACCATGACCTGAGCTGAAGGCAGAGGCTTAACCCCCTGAGCTACCCAGGCACCCCTAGACTTATATTTTTTAAATAATGATTGGGTTAGACATTATTTAGCAAGGAAAGAAGACTAGCCAAAGTCTTAGTAGTCATTTATATGTAATTCTTTAACTCTTACTTTAGGGTTTGTCCAGGTTCAGAGTAAAGATGTCATCAAAGTTATTTAATGTAATGCCATAATCATTAGATTAAAACACTTTAATTCTGGATAGAGTGATGGTTTAATATGAATTCAGATAAGAAGATTTCTGTATCTTAAGGCCTTGAATCCTAGAACAAATAAGATTCTAAATTCTATAGTCTTTCTATCCAACAGAAATACAATGTGAGCTAAAATTGTGAGCCACAAATGTAATTTTGCTAGTAGCCACATTTTTAAAAAACAAAAACAAACAAAAAAAGAAAGTGAAATTTAATTTTAATAATACAGTTTATTTGACTCGATATGCCCCAAATAATATAATTTCAAATGTAAATAATATTTTAAAATTTACTAATAAAACCATTTGCATTTTTTTACTCAAATCTTTGAAATCCAATGTGCATTTTATTCTTAGAGTGTGTCTCAATTTGCATGAACCACATTTCTGGTGCTCAGTAGCAATATAAGGCTAATGGCTACCATATTGGATAGCACAGCTTTATAGTATACAGAATTTAGAAATTAACACAATATTTTTAAGTCTTCTAGAAATACTAGAACCCAGGGTTCCTGGGTGGCTCTGTTGGTTAAGTATCTGACTCATGGTTTTGGCTCAGGGCGTGATCTCAGGGTGGTGAGATCAAGCCCTGAGTCAGGCTCCGCACTCCGTGGGGAGTTGGCTTGGGATTCTCTCTCTTTCTCTTTCTCTGTGCATTCCTCCCACCCTGTGTGTTCTCTCTGTCTGTCTAAAATAAATAAATAAAATATTTTTTTTAAAAAAGACATACTGGAACTCATAAATATAAATGCACAGCTAACCAATATCCTTTATTTTAAATAGGATTGTTGATGGAATTGAAGATGGAAATAGCAGTGAGGAAAGCCAAACTTTTGACTTTGGCTCTGAACGCATCAGGCCAGAGCCCAGAGTTTCCCCTCCTCTAGGAGGTAAGTTCTAGATTTAGCCTTCGATCAAAAGGTGATTTCCTTTTAACTTGTAATGTTTGGCATAGGCACTTTCTTGCCTTCCCACTCTCTGAATATTTTCTACATGATAGAACTTTACCAACGCCATGGACCAATTTGACTTGAGTCTGTGCATCTCCAAGTTATTAAGATATAATTTGTAATTGTTCCTCCCTCCAGGCTAGATGTTCTGCCATTTCCCAGCCCAGGTAAATGGTATGTCAGGAGACTCAAATTTCTGCTATTCATTAGAGGATGATCATGTTTTCTTATTACAAATGGAGGCTAATCCACAGAAACAACACTACCCAGAGGAAAAGCTGTGTTGGTTGTACACTGTAGGAACATTGGTTATTTTTAACCAACTTATTGATGAGAGATTATGTATTTGCATATCAGAGGATAAACAACTTCAGAAGGATGTAAGAAGGTTGGAAATAATGGAGACCTATGTGAAGCACTACTCTCTAATGATGGTGAATTTAATGTAAGGGAACCCCCAAACCTAACCCAGTCTCCTCTCACTCCCTTGCCTTCTTGAGTTCTTAGGATATGTTGATAGGAATCTATCCACATAATGAAAGCCAGAAATGAAAGGTAAATTCTAAAGAAGACACACCTGTACTTACTAGAGAGAGCATAATGAGCAAGCATAGGCTATCCAAAATAATTTATCAGCAAACTCCAGACAAAAGGCTAGTAGTCCCCTGCCAACTCTATCCTCCCCTTCCCACTCAGCTCTGAGATCCTTGTGTCAGGATCTACTACCAGTTAGTGAGTACCCCCATGAACAAAGCCGAGCCCAATAAAAACAGTCCTTGGTGTGTGTCTCCTTTTGGTAAAATACCGGTATTCCATCTCAATCTATAATCCTACTCCCTGGCACTCATCATCTTCTGAAGAAATTGAAGGGTCCTTGTAAGTCTCTGGGTGAGGTGGGGGAGTGTGCAGAGAGAAGGAAGTGACTTTTTTCTTCCACAAACAAATTTTCTATCCATAATTTACCAGAATTAGGGTATTAGGATGATCATATCATTTTATATAAATATATTTAAATAATAAATATAAGTTAATTATGTATGTGTGTGTATATATATGTGTGTGTGTGTGTATAGATCTAGATCCCTGAACACTCCAGCTAGTAACAGTTCGTATATGTATCACTCATTCCTTTCCACTCCAGCTGGCAGCGACTCATCTATACTTTTGTTACTGACAGAAATAAATGTATTTGGAAGAGTAAGGTAAAGAAAAAGTGAAGATAAGAGAACCAGGAAATGGGAGATACTATCTTTTAGAGCAACACAAGAAGAGATAGGAAACCCACAATGAAGTTTAGCTCCTGAAATAGAAGTGGGGGGGGCAGAATACTCTCACGGGCCCAAGAATTAATATTTGGGGGGAAAAGGAAGAGGAAAAGAACACTCCTTTTCTATAGTTTAGGCATTGGCTGTGAAATATTTTTAAAGAATGCTCAAAAAAGAGAAACTGTGCCATCTTGGAACATGGTGGTGATTGTGTTCAGGAGTAAGGAAGATTTGCCTTGAACACATCTAATCAGTGCGTTCACAGTCCCCATCATGATATGTGCCTGTTTCAAGGAGTTTATCAGGCACAGTCCAGAGGCTTACTAGAAGCATGTCCAATCCCAGGGAGATAGAACCTACAGTGCACAGGCGTCAGGAAAAGGTAAAGGTAGTAGCTTAGGCTTCCTTCTCCATTCCAATTGCCCCAATCCTCATATATGAGGTATATTACTAAAGGACTCATTCTGAGTGTGTTCTACTTTTCAGAATCAGAGATTGGAGCTGCTGTTCTCTTCATCAAAGCAGAGGAGACCAAGCAGCAAATAAATAAACTCAACAGTGAGGTATGGAGCTTTCTCTTTCTTTGGTCATGCTGGAATGGCAAAAGCTATAAATCCTAGTTACCAGCAAAAGTGGTATAATAGAGTAATTACAGGCATGTGCTCTGGTGTCAGACCACCACAGATGAATTCCCGTTAAGCTTCATATGAGTTACGTGACCTTCCACAAGTTACTTCTCTTCTCTCATGCTCTATTTCCTCATGTATAAGAAGAGGACAAAAATTATGCCTGCTTTATGGCCCATTGTGAAATTGAGATAATATAGGCAAATCATTTAGCTTAAAGCACTAAATAAGTGATAATTATACTAATTAGTGTCATAAATGCATTGATACTTGATGTAATGGGTGCTTTTTTCACTTTTTTCATGTAATTTTTAATGAGTTAAAGCAAGATGATTAATCCAAAGATGAATGCTATTTCTTAGAGTAATCAAATGACCTGGAATGCTCTTCCTTTCCCTGACATATTTTTGCTGTGTAACTTTAAGCACTTTACTTCTCTGGATCTTACCATCTATCCCTGTAAAATCAGGTAAAATTTTTTAACGACTTTGTTAAAATATATTTTACATATCATAAAATTCACCCATTTCAAGTGTACAGTTTAATGATTTTTAGTAACTTTATTGAGCGGTTCAACTGTCACCGTATAAGTTTTAGAATACTTTGACCACCTCCTACTCCTCTACCGCTCCCACCCCGGACAACAAGTCTTCTCATTGACATTTATGATTAATCCCTGTTCCCACATCCAGCCCTAGGCACCTACTTACTTACTTTTTGCCTCTTTTGGCCATTTCATATACACAGAGAAGGTAATTTCCAAATCCCTGTCCTAATTTGGGTGTCCTCCCCAAAAATTTTAATTAAAAAAAATTTGAGACAACAATTTGGATGCAAATAGTTTATTTGGGAGGTGGTCCAGAAAGCAAGATGAAGGAGTAGAGAAGTAAGATAGGTGAGAAATGAAAGCTCATAAATAAAGCTGTGCTAATGAGATGACTAACTCTGTAAGCAATTGGGGCTCAATGCTGCTGGGGACCACTGAGATAGTATACAGGACAATTTAAAACTGTTCCACCATAAGACAAGGAAAAGGGGAACTGAGGGTGGTTTCTGAGAGACTGACTCCCTAGCCCTTCATGCAGTCCTTGCTGCGGAGGAGACTCGAAATGTTCTTCAGACAGGAATATGCGGGAAGACCTGGATAGTCTTTGGTGACCTTCAGGGTTGGCCTAAGTTGAGGACATGTGGGCAGGCACAGACAGCCTCTTTCTAGGACGAAAGTTTTACATTATCTGATGAGATCTTAGCAAAAATGTAACCAGTTACGGACACTGGTGAGATTTGTGAAAAATGAAATCATATATCACCATCAGTTTTTCTTAAACCTGTGTGTCTTCAGCTTAGTGAAGATTTACGATTTACTCCCATTGCTCCTTCTGTGCCCACTCTCTCTGGAAGTGTGATTGTTGCTAACAAGACTTCAAAGCTCCAATGGGCAGACTAACAAGTTAGATAGGAATGGAAAACTAACGGGATTGAAACCCCTTAAATCACAAGGATCTGGCGAACGCTGGATTATCTAAATAACCTCTTGTTAAGAATCCACCAAAAACAAAACAAAACAAAACAAACAAAATACCTTGTTGGAGAAACTTTGATTGAATAATTTCTTTTCAAATGTTGATCTCTAAAAGCACCCATTAATACCATTTGAATTCTTTTCCCTCACATTTGAGATTTTTTAATGTTTTTAAGAACTGACTAACCCATACCTTAGCTCAAAATATTAGAGTTAAGAATTATTCTGGGGAAAGGAATGTGTTTATATCTTCACCTTCTGGAATGTACATAATTTTCCCAAGTCACAGCTGTAAATCCACACACTATACGATTTTCCTTCGATAATGTGAGCCAGTGGTAGATACATTAAAACAGATAACCACTTGAAAAATAAGCATTTCCCCAGTGTGATTTGGTATTCATGATTGCTTTTCTAGTGAGATGACATAAATCTTTTTATCTTTCCATATATTGAAATAAAAAGGGCAAGTTAAAATATCAATGGTCCAATTATCCTTCCCTAAAGAATTAGTTTTTCCTTATAGGAAATATCTGATTTCTTCATGGTTGAAGCTTGAATAAGAAAATCTTATCTTTTACACATAATTTAATTTATCTAGTCTTGACCCTTTAGTACATTAAAACCCACTGACAGGCAGAATGAAAATACGAATTGGTTTCAAACTGTAAAATTATCTTTCTCCCAACTTCCTACTTGTTTTTTCCTCTTATCTCCTATAATATTGTTTACATAGCAAAAAAAAAAAAAATCTATCTTTTAAAATCCAAACCTAATTTTGCCATTTCAGGAGTATCCTACCACTCACCCGTGTGATCATTTGATTGTTTTGTTTCTCATTTATTCTATTTCTTGGTAGTAGTAGACAAGAGAAGAATTGATAATGAACACGGGATATACTACATAATAAAAACTCTTTAAAAAAAAAAGTCAATCCCCAGTATATGTGGGGCATGTCAAGTGTTGTAGCAAGTATGAGAATATGGCTACAATCTCATTTAAGATACACAGAAATTGTTCATTGATATGTAGGGTTCATAATTAGCTGGCTAAATACAGAACAAAAATTAGAAAAGGAATAATGTTGGTAATAACCTACATTCACAGAGCAGTGACGAGAGTTTAAAAGATGTAGGGCAGCTGCTAATATTAGAACGCTTTTGAAAACATTGCTGTTGCTTTAGGGCAACAAAGAAAGAGTGCAATTCTAAGGAAATTGTTTAAAAATAACAACAAACTGTCTCCGTGGGGGCCATGGGCTGTGTAAGTCAAATGCTCCATTTCTGAAAAGATTTGTAGGTAAGGGTTAGAATATTTCCTCATTTCTGAAATCTGGCTGACCCAGAAAGACACTGTGGCAAAGCCGACCAGGGAAGCCGTGTGCTTCACCGCAGCAGGCAGAAGACATAAAACACACTAGTAGAGAAAGAGAATACACTTTGGAGAGAGAAAAATATTCTGATCTCTATTCATAAAATTAACTGTCTGATTTCAGCAAAGTGTTCACCTTCCCCAAGTTCAGATTTTTCCTCTATTAAGTGGTAATGATAAAATCTGCAATACAGGATTGTTGTGAAGACTTAATACCATATATAAAGCCCCCAGCATGATGTCTTCTGTTAATAAGGGGTCAAATACTCATTCTCCTCTTATACAAGATTATACTTCCATTCAACAGAAGGCGACTCTCAAGTTAGCACCTGCTGCTCCCTCCTGCTCAGTGCAGAGTAGTCAGAGAGAATTAGTCTCAGTGCTTATGGGGCAGAACATGAAAACGACTGGATTCAAGGGAAACATTTGATCATGACAATGACTACTGTTTATCTGAGACTTTTCTTTTGCTACTAAAATACTCAGTATAAAATTAGAATAGAAAATGATAGGGCAAAATGTTTATATTTCAGTGCATCTTATTTTAGCTAAATAGTTTGATGGGATAAGGGTCACTGTGTTAATGGAAAGAACACTTGTTCTGTAAGACTTAGAGATTTAAGGGCAAAGACACCCACTATGCCATTTTAATGATGCTTCATCATTACCTGATTAAACATATAAATAGCAAAACAATTGTGAAACTAGGCAGAAAAGAACCTGCCAAGCTTACTGGAAGCAAAATCACAGCCAAATCTTCATTTTCAAAATGAACGAATGAAGGTAGCTTGTTAAATCATCCTTGTTCACCAAAAGGCACTTTGGGTGGAATGCTCTGATCGCCCCTTTTTAGCATTTTATTTTGTATGTACTCAAAGGAACCAGTTAATATTGGGCCATTTTAATCTACCCCAAGTCTTAAATATATTCAGAAGAATGAAATGTATATAACATTGCTAAACAAAAAATGGACTTTGTAGAAACAACTTATATTGACTTTTTAAAGGGAGAAGCCCATCTTTCCATACTATTTATTAACTCCCTTTTTTTAAGCAACTTTATTGATATATAATTAATGTATGATATAATTCATCCATTTAAAGGGTGGCTCAGTCGTTAAATGTCTGCCTTGGGTTCAGATCATGCTCCCAGAGTCCTGAGATCGAACCCCATGTGGGGATCCCTGATCAGCAGGTAGCCTGCTGCTCCCCTACTTGTGTTCTCTCTCTCTCTTTTTCTCTCTCTCTCTTTCTCTGGCAAATAAATAAGTAAAATCTTTTTAAAAATTAAAAATAATAAAGTGTATAATTTGAAGGCTTTTAGTATGTTCATAGAGTTGTGCATTCATCACCGTAATCAATTTTAAACCATTTTATTTTATTTTTTTAATATCTTTTTTTTTAAAGATTTTATTTATTTATTTGACAGATAGATCACAAGTAGGCAGAGAGGCAGGCAGAGAGAGAAAGGGAAGCAGGCTCCCTGCTGAGCAGAAAGCCCAGATGCGGGGCTCGATTCCAGGACCCTGGGATCACAACCTGAGCCGAAGGCAGAGGCTTTAACCCACTGAGCCACCCAGGCGCCCCCATTTTAAACCATTTTATTACCCCACAAGAAACTCCATACCATACAGCCATCACCCGGAATTCAAGTTCCCCGACCCTCAGCCCTATGAATCTACATGCTCTGCCCATAGATTTGCCTATTCTGAACATTCCATATAAATGGTATTATACAATATGATCCTCTGTGACTGGCTTTTGTCACTTAGTATAATGTTTTCAAGGTTCACCCATGTGGCGTGCGAGTACTTCATTTGCTTTTATACCCAAGTAATATTCCGTTGTGTGGCTGTACCACCTCTTATTTATTCATTCATCAGGTGATAGACATTTGTGTTGTTACCACTTTTTAGCTAACATGAATGATGTTGCTATGAACATTCGTAAGACATTCACACACGTTTTTGTGTGGACATGTTTTAATTTCTCTTGGGTAATTAAGTGGAATTGCTGGATCGTATGGTAACTCTATGTTTAAACAT